AATACATTATAGGGTAAACTTTCTGATGGGCGGGTAGTAGCTGTGAAGCAGCTTTCAGTAGCATCTCACCAAGGGAAGAGTCAATTTGTTACTGAGATTGCTACCATATCTGTGGTGCAACATCGCAACCTTGTTCAACTGTACGGATGCTGCATCGAAAGAAATAGACGCCTCCTTGTTTATGAGTATCTTGAGAACAAAAGCCTTGACCAAGCACTCTTTGGTATGACTGAACAAGTTATTTGCTCCCTTTTAGCCTTTATGCTGGAAATGAAACATATCTGCTTCTGAATTCATTTCTTCACCAAATTAATCACTCTCCTACACCAAATTAATGATTCTCCATAACATTTCCTGCTTCACATATGCAGGAAAAAGAGAGTTGCATCTTGATTGGCCAACCAGGTTCAGTATCTGCCTGGCAACTGCTAGAGGACTAGCTTATCTTCATGAGGAATCAAGGCTGAGGATCATACACAGAGACGTGAAGGCAAGTAACATTTTGCTTGATGCAGAGCTGTGTCCGAAAATATCTGACTTTGGATTGGCAAAGCTATATGATGACAAGAGAACTCACATTAGCACCCGCGTTGCAGGAACAATGTAAGCTCCTTGAATCACTATATCAAAAGAGTATCTAAATGCTTATTTGCATTATAATGTAGCTTGTATCTGTTATTAGGTTTCATAGCATCAAACCATTAACGGAATCCAGAGACTTAGTATCATGGATAGAAAAATCATCTTAATAAACCCTGAACATGCAAATTTAATAACTTAATTGCAATATTGGCAGTGGCTATTTGGCACCAGAGTATGCAATGCGTGGCCACCTTACTGAGAAGGCAGATGTTTTTGGCTTTGGTGTTGTTGCTTTGGAAATTGTCAGTGGAAGACCAAACTCTGACAACAGCCAGGACAATGACAAGATCTATCTTCTTGAATGGGTAAAGAAAGAAACTCTGTTCTTTTTCCTTCTTTATAGACACATTCCTTGTGCATGAGATTTAGCTACACAATGTTTCTAGGCATGGACTCTGTATGAAAGCAACCAATGTCTTGGTCTGGTGGATCCAACCTTAGTGGAGTTTGATGAAAATGAAGCTTTAAGAATGATAAGAGTGGGACTCCTGTGCACACAAGCATCACCAATGAGGCGACCACCCATGCCAAGTGTTATAGCTATGCTTGCTGGGGATATCGAAGTGAGCCCTGTAGCGTCAAAACCAAGTTATTTAACTGACTGGGATTTTAAGGACATAACAACCAGCATCAAGGCTGAAAACACACCATCTACTGGATCTAAGCACAGTGACAATAAGAAGAGGAACGATCTTAGCCCAGGGATAGAGCTGGTGCCTTCTCCATTAAACATCACTGAATTCAGGGACATTACTGCGGAAGGAAGGTGAGAGATGTTTTTCCTTAAAAGCTCCATTTCGCTACTTCTGCTTTGGCCTCTGCCACATTGTTTCTAGCTTAATAAAGTAGATACTGAAATTGTGTGAATTTCTGTCATTCGAACCCTTTTATATGTTGATCATTTCTCTCTATGTAAATTGAATGATATATCGAAATATTGGCATGCAATAATGCTACCGTGTTTGTAACACATGGATTTCATTCCTATCGTGAAGTAATATACTTCAAAGCTATAGGAGCGTTTGTAATTCTATGTAACATAATTAATGTCTTTTTTTTGGGGTTTTCTTTTTCCTCTTTATTTTTACACACCATCAACTTCAGCCAAGACATCAGCTCCTATGTTTGCAACCGACTGCAAGTCAATCTCAACAGTCACAACAGCACCACATGACTCCAATCTGCGGAGCCACAGCAGCACTTCCGAATCTTTTAGCAGCGCCTTCTTCCCAAAGAAAGAATTCGACGCTGCAAGAAGAACTGCAACTGCTGCAACAAACTCAGAAATTCGTTTAGTGTTCTTTGCGGTATGAGTGAGTCTCATGTTGAATTTTCTATAATTTGTTTGAATTCTACGTCTTAAAAGAAAATCTTGAAAGTAACTAGTATATGTTTTTTTAATTTGTAAGATTTAATGCATTGATATCTTTTGAGTTTTTTTTTGTTTTACATTTTATGAAAGAAGTCATGGAGATCACATATTAGCTTTGTCAAGCTTTGCAGTGTAAATCTTAAGTTCTTTTTGAATGCTTTAAATCTTATCAAGTTAACAAAGATTCTTATTCAACAATTCAGAAAAAGTAGATAAAATTCTTTACTTGAAAAGGTAAAATTATTCTCTGACAATAACAATATAGATGTTTTTGACATGTTTGCCACATATGTTGCACGAGCAAGATGTACTCATCATTAATAATATATTATTATAATTAAGTACCATTATCGAATAGATATTTTCAATAGTACAATAGATTCCCAATTACAACAATTGAATTGCAGGTTTAATGAAAATGCAATGGAACTATTGACTTTTAATGATGTTTTAGATCCTAGAAATGGCTGTAAGAGTTTCAATGTTGATTATATTTATGGGCTTGTAGAAAAATGCTATCCTTAGGATTTTTCGAAGATGGAGAAACTTCATTTAAGATAAGAGTTTTGACATTATGAGATTGAAACAAGTTATGATCAGGCTTTTTAGAATTTGTCAAATATTTGTAAGTTATGTCAATGACTCATGGAGACAAAAAAATCAGAGGTTTACAGTCTCATTTACAAGTTAATTACTTTGATGCTTACTTTTTTAATTTCTACTACAACAACAAAAAAAGCAATTTCTACCATGAAAATTGTGAAAACATGACTTTGTAGCAAAATGGAGGATGAATTCCTTTTAAACTCTTTGGTTGTTTATATTGAAAAGAAAATAGTTCAGACATTTAATATAAACTCTATTATAAATAAATTTCGTGACATTAAAACTCATTAAGTATTATTTTAATTTATGATATATATAAGTTTTTAAAATTATAATATATTATTTTGAGACTCGAAAATATGTCCCCCTAACTAAATTCTTGGCTCTGCCACTAAATGAGAGGTTTAGAGTGGATTGGAAAGCTGAATTTGGGTCATCCTTTGTCCTTCTATTTGACAAACTCTATCAAAGCCAACCACCATTTTGGCCCAATAGCTATGACTCTTTTGATGAGTATAGTAATATTTAAAAGTTCACTATTTAAATTTTGACAATCTCATTTTCCACTTCTCTAATTGTATTAGTTAAAAAATAAAAAAATAAAAAAAGAAAAAAACTCTATCGAATAGATGGCAATTGATGAGTGGTTATTATCACTTACATTTTTGTTAAGGTTAGACAATTTTATTAATATTTTATTAATTTATAATTTTTTTAAATAGTTAATTATAATATTTAAAGA